TCTGGATAATTAACTGTTCAACTTTATTAAAGGAAAGTCATCAAGAATAAATTTTGAAAGCATGTGTCGCAACTTGAAATAGCTGACACCTTGAGCTGTCCTCCTGAAATAAATGGGATAGCCTGAGGAGTGAGTAAACACTGTACTGAGTTAACTGTATAAAAATTCTGGCCTCTTGGCCTTCAGAAAATGTTTTTCTCTGTGTGGACGTGTAAACACACAAACACCGCACACTTCTGCACTGAATTGCCCTTGCTGACCATGGGATGGGATATGAGGGGGTACAATCCTCCCAAAATCTCAAGGCTGCTCATCTCCCTGCGCATGGCAGGAGGGTTGGAACTAGATGATCTTTAAGGTCCCTTCCAACCCAAACCAGTCTATGATTCTATGAAGCAACAGGTGTGGATCAGGGGATGGACAGTAACACACCAATTCACATATTGGCCAACATAACCCATATAGTTTTTAAAGACAAAATTCTCCGTGCAGGGCTGTGACCATCATACTGGTGGCAGTCGCCGGCACGAGGCAGCTGATGGCAGCAGGGCTGTGGGATGGAGCCACTCAGCTCCAGGTGCTCTTGGCCAACGCTGTTTTTCACTCTTGGGATGATAAATTTTGCCCTTTAAAGGCTGTCCTCAGGACACTGCTTCTGCCTGTCTTTGGACACCCCCAAAATCTCTTTCTCTTCCAGTCGGGCTTGCGGCACAGCCTGGACCAGCTCTGCGTGGTTATGGAGGTGGCGGTTCAGCCCGACCCGGTGACAGAGGAGGAGGCTTCGCGTGAAGAGGCCCCGCGTGAAGAGTCCCCTCTTTTGTCCAATGGAGCGAACCTGAATAAAGAGTCTGTGACATGCAACGAGCTGCTCCGCCTCGTTCCCGAGGGCCCGCCAGAGGTAATGAGAAATATCCCTCCTGGATGGAGAGAGGTGCCGAATCACCTCCCCAGGCACTTCAACTCTAAAACTCATCCCAGCAGCCACCAGCCATCGGGACATGTCCTTTTTCACCAGTGGAAGCACTTGGAGGCCTGGAGGTCCACACACACTTTCTCCAGCCCTGACACTGCTGAGCTATTAATGCTTACTGAGCAGCTAATGCTTAATGCTTGAGGAATTCATGGATTGGGCTTTTCCTTGCTGGTGGCTGGGGATCCCTGTTTGGAAGACAACTTCTCCCCAGGGTCTGTGCAGGGACCCAGCACCTGTGTCCACGCCGGAGATGAGGCATGGCCATGCCCAGCCTTCGTCTCCTCCATGTGCCTTCAAAGACTTGTGCCGTGCTGAGCAACAAATGTGTCCTCATTCCCACTCAGCAAGAAGCTTCAAAAGGGATGACTTAGATTTATTTAAGAGTTCTCTTCTCGCTGTTACTAAGTGAATTTAGTGCAGGTGACATCCCTGCAGATTGAAGCTTTCTGGCTGTCTACAGGCAAAAAAAAAAGAGCAGGCAGGTCCTCAAGCAGCCTGGCTGCCCGGCCACCCACTGGCGAGTGGTCATTCCATGTCACTTCCCCGTGGGGACAATGTGCCAGCTCTGCTGACCAGAAGGGGATCTGGGACAGTTATATATGCCGTTGGCTCCTGTCCTGGTTCTTCCAGACGAGGACAGTCCTTGAACAAAGGAGCAAATGGTATTTAGTGCATCATTCGCTCTTCCTGCAGGTAGATGCTCTGCTCTGACACCTCTTGTGCTCGTTGCAGGTGATGGCCCAGCAGCTCCTGGTGATCTTCAGTGGATGCTACGTCCGGCTCCTGGTCACTGGCCGGCTCCCTCGGGCCGTGGCGGGGGGGCACCTGATGCAGAGCAACGTGCCCTGTCTCTGCCAGTTCATCGAGACCACTGTGCTCAACACACACCAGAGCTGTTTCCAGGGCAGGTGACCAGAGAGAGCTGGAAAATGCTGGAATAGAAGCTGTCCATACCCAGCAGCGTGACGAAGCTGTGGGGCAGAGGAGAGGGCTGAAATCGCTCATCCTGGACTTATCTGGATGAACAAGTGGAAACATGACTCTAATAAAACATACAAGACACCAGAAAGCTGCTTATCTTTGAGACCGCCTGCCTGCCCACCACTGGCTTGGTGTGAAGCAGCTGCTCCTGGGGCAGAAACAACCCAGGGACAGCTTGGAGCTCCCTTGGGAAATTTCCCACGGCTCTTAGCCGGGGCCTCGGGAAGTCGCAGGGAATGCCTGCAGGTGCCAGCTCCACCCCTTCAAAATCAAGTACGTGGGTGTTTTTTAGTACAAGGAAGATGGAGAAAATCTGTGCGTAGCAGTGTTCTAAATGTGGAGGTTGCTCTGGGTTATGTTGGTGTCACGTAGCTGTCGGTGACAGTGAGTTTGCCCTGTGACAAATGTGGACCTCTCAGCCGATGACTTGGCAAACTTTCCATCTAAGAGTCAGCTTGGGACAGTGCTTGGTTCCTGCTGCCTCCCCGGGGGCGAGGGTGATGGACATCTTGGTGATCCATGGGATGAGGCCTTAGAGAAGGCACTGTGCCCTGTGTAGGGCACCCTGGAGCATGGCTCTCTTCAGAATCCCCGTTCTGCTCCATGTAAGAGGAGCCAGGGGTGAGCAGGAGACCTCCCCGTTTGCTTGAAGTCCATAAGGGAATGGGAAATGAGGTGCTGTAGGCCTACGAGAGGTCGTGTGCTCAGGTAGTGCCCATGTTCAGAGAACTGCAGTATGGTCCGGGAAAGGTTGGTGTCCTCCCCTGCCCCAGAGCCAGGCGTTGCTGCTAAATTCAGGGGGCTGCACGCACTGACATTTCCCTGACCACACGGGTTGGTGGTGATAACTGTCCGAGGAAGTAGCAACAGTCAAAATAAAGTGCCTTAAGGTCTGTGTTTTCCAGCCTTGCTGTGGCTGAGCGAGCACAGGAGATTCGGGTCTGTTGCCCACCTCCCTCCCTGCCCTCCCTCCCCATCTCCCGCAGAGCCCCGCAGCCTCCCAGGCACAGCTTGTGTCTCTCCCACCTGAGCGTGGGACCCCTGCCCTGCACAGAGCAGGAGGGTTTTAAAATCAAGGTCCCTAGTTTGGGTGCATCCCTCAATCGTGTACGTCCCATCGTGCCACCCAGCATCTCCCCCTCACTTGATATCATACTGGAAAAGTTTTGGATCCCACTGCGGTTCCTGCAGCCCTCTGCTCTGCGGGTGCTGTGCATCATGGCGTGGTGCTGGCTGCCCAGTAAGGACAGCCTCACTAGCTCACTGGGCATGGGGAAGGAGGTTGGACAAAACAGCATGGGATTTCCACAGACCTGAGCTCCAAGACTCCTTTCTTCAGCTCAGCAGATGATTTTACCTTCGTGGAAATAGTCTGGACGTGTGTCACTATCATTGGGAGCACAATTTGGTTTCACAGCACAAAAACCCCTTTTCCTGCTAGGATGCAATGGCTCCCGCTC